CATGTTATCTTTGGTGGAGTCTGTTAGAATTCCTTGGCGCCTAGCGTTTTCGGGACGCTTTTCGATCTAGGAAGGTGGAACGGACGCTGGAGAAGGGTATCTAGCACTTCTAGCAACTCTTAGGTCGGTCTGTGCCCGAACTTTGCTTTTAAAGGTGTCACTATTGGTGTGTGGCGTTCAAATATCGTCGAACAGATAACTCAGCGCTTACATCACTTTTTGAACCAACGAGTGTCTCCTTTCGAGTTTCGAGATGAACAAGTTTAGCGCTATGATTTAACCATAGAATACGTAAGTGCACGAGGACGAATGGTTAACAGAATTGCGTTAGGATTCTGAATTCTCGGAGGCGATATGCTGCTGAAAATAACCGGATAGAGAAGTTTTACAAGTATGCCGGGTTGTGAACAAAACTCGCCTTAGACGGGACCGGACCAGCACCTCCTGCTCACCGGGCAAGTGTGAAATATTCACAAGGCGAACTGCGGCCAAAAACAGCAGTTAACAAAAAAACAAGTCGAATAGAGAAGGTTAAACTTCCAAGGGCTAAAAATTGTTCAGCGTACCATTTTGTAATTCAACATGGAAAACTGCATTTGATAACGGAGGATGGACGTTCCTGTTGGTGATTCCAGGTAGCGGAGGGAAAACCTTTTCAATAAGGCCCACTGCGGCGTTTCAAGTGGTCGTTTCATTGCTTACAAGATGTTTGCGCAGATGAGAAAAACCCTGCTCTGGCCTGAGATGTGAAGACCTTGTGAGCTGGTGTCGCAGTTGTCGCTTGTGCTTCGCTACAAAAAAATGAATAAAATGTCTCGCCATCACGGCCGATTGAGGTGATTAGACCTCTTCCAATAGTTATAAGAGATCGCCTGAAAATGGGATCGATTACGCGAGGAAACCGCTACATAGTCACTATTACTAACCATTCTACGAGAATCTCGGAGCGTATCCCATAGCGGACAAAAGGGCAGAAACGGTCGCAGAAGTGGTTTTCAGCAGCTGGAAATACGGTGCAGGATGATTGTCTGGAATTCTTCTCTAGGGCAGAGGAAGTGAGTTTTAGAATGAAATAGTTGCGGCTCTCTGCAGTATAATGGGAATCGAGCAGAATTCTGCCAAAGCCGTAGAGAAAGTAGACTGACAAAGCGCGTGAATTGTACTATCGTCCGCATGCTCAAGAAGAAAACAGTCATTCCTGCTGAGTGGGATCAGGTAGTGCCAACAGTGGTCTATGCATACAACGCATCTGCACATACGGCGAGTTTGTTGCGCAGAACAGAGCTTAAATACCCCACAGCTGTGATCCCATCTAACCAGTTGTCACCATATTTAGTATATTATGACGACTACAAAAGCGATCTATATGCCGGATTGCAAGCTGACGCGGCAGCTAAGTTGCAAAAATGCTGAGCGTTATCGTGAGCGTAAAAAATTGGGTGCGATAATCGCGGGAAAACTAGCGGAAGCACCGTTTTCAAAACAGGAGATAGTGTGTATGTGAAAAAAAGCGAAATCACGAAATGCAAAAAGTGCTATCGACTAGGCGGGACCATTCCGGGTTATTGAGACAACCATGAATTTGGCGTTAGTCACGCTCAACGCTCATTGGAGATAAGGATTATTTTAGAGAACAATTCGACCACTTGCTCAGGTTCTATAAAAATTGATGACACTTGGTTAACATGCATAACGCGCGGTAAAAGAAAAAGAAGAGTGGCGTCAATCAAGGTCATTGATGATGGCCACATTGAAGTAGGGTATAATTATTTTCATTCCAGCAATGTCGTCATCTAGTTTGCCGTATCGACTGGATGTGCCTCGGATAAATGTTGATCGATGGACAAAACATGGCGCGTACCGTCAACGTTCCGATCAGCAATCTTGTTACCATCAGCTCCATTATCGTCATTTGCATTTCCAGTCGCCTTATGAGTTAGCCAGAGCATTTGCTGTTATTAGCCAAACTCATATTCCTGAACATTCTTGGCGCGTATGCTCGATTTTTCGTATGATGTTGTCACGTCGACTTCGGTCGGACTTGCTACTGCTTCTTATCATTTACGCTGTATTCATATGAATTTGCTGCTGTCGAAGATACAGCAAGGATTGGGTATCCACCGCGGACGAATTCGGACCCGTGCAACCTTATCAGCATTTACAGTGACGCTGTGAAGTTTACGGACATGCATACATGGACGGCAACAAGTTGGAAACTATTGCAGCCACGCCGAACATTGGTAATATTGCCCGAAGGCTTTCAAGATGTGCTGGAGTGCTTCGAGTCCTCCCTGATGTCAGCTAGACTCGCCAGGGAACCAGACGACGTACTGCCGGGATGGTTCGAAGAAGAATTTTCGGCAGTCATCATGTTTTCACCGGCGCGTTTTGTCGATGGTGTCGCGTTAGGAGAAGCGCTTGGTTTTTGACCATGCAAGCTGTCGACAAGGGTGCGGAGCTAATAGCGTTGGCTGGGCCCAAAGCCGACAAGGACTGGGGGAAAGCAGTCGATCAGCTCGGAGGTATCATCGAGGAGACGATCACGCAAAAAACTTCGTCGAAGCAACGGATTCGTTGTTTACTGCCGCTGAAATCTGAGGAATTCATGCAGAGGCTGCATTTGAAATCTGAGCAGACGATCTCGTGAGCGGTCGACATTTCATTCGGAATGGCGCTGAACGATTTCGATGGCAGTACTAGAAACCTACAATTCTGTGTGCGGTTATCACAATTTCATCTCGTCTCAACTGAACTGAAGAAACCGCTTCAGCAGGGTAACGTCGGCACGCATCAGCAGTTCTACAAAGGTACTGGACGAGGAAATCAAGCACTCCAAGCCCTGTCCCTAAAGATACACGCTTCTTGCCTCAAGTCTCGTGGGTACCTTTAACGCTCGAGATCGTTATGTAAAGGCGATCACTTGAAGAGGTGGGAGGGTGGTGGGAGGGTGGCTTTTGACTCACTGATCAAGAATCATGTTACGATCGTTTGATCGTTCGTTCGTGAGTCGTTGTATAGATCTAACTCTTGCACAATATGGTGTGTCTACAGTACGTAGCCTAACTTTAATCCACGGACACAATTACACGGCTCGTCAACGGAACCATTCGTCCACCACTGATTAGAGGATGGCACCACCTGTCACGATGTGAAAAGGGGACATTTTATTGATTCGATTCAAAATAAGGGTTTCTCAACCACGAATCAGGTTCCTAGGGTAGGCTATCGTGAGTTGATTCGGTGTTCTGAGAGCCGAGTAGCTCATTTTTCCTGAGCCACGCCCCTTTACAATCTTTCTTCCGTTTCTAATAATTTGTTCGTATTTAGACAATAAAGATTTGTCTGCGAGTCTACTCTTCTCGAAAGAGACGAGTTATTTATTAGGGTGTGAAGTATTTTTTGATCTTTTCGTTCAGATCTTATTGCCTTACTATTTGTGAAGAATATCAGGCGTGCCTCCTGTCTAAGGAAGTTTTCGTTTTACTTTCGCTACTAGTTTCAGTAACATGTTCATTTTTTGCTGTGCTGTTTACCTCCTACACTTTTTCGGGAAAGTGTGGGTTTACTTATTTACATATTCTACACATGAAAAAAATCTGAGCAACAAATGTCGTTCAACGTGTTTCGTCTGCATTCACCTATTGTTCGAAAACAGTGTTTTGCATCAGAGGCTGGGGCGGAGCTCCGCCTTACTGGAGAGGTCTCTCCCGTGGATAGAGGTACTCTGCCCGCTACTTCAAAAGCTTTCTCGCACTCTCTAAGAGGCTAAACGTTGGATCCCAGACCGTCGTATGCTCGAAAGGACCCTGCCCGCCTACCGCTCAGATATCTCATCTGTTTCGTAACCCTAATCTATTATGCTCAGTTAGCTCAGAGTTCTTTTCCCGACCACATTATCGCTATCTGTTTCTCAGACTTCTTCGCCAGAAAGGTCCATAGTCTGTTTTTTTCACGACCTGTTTTTTAGTTTTTCGTTGTAGTCTAATTCGTGTCCCTACTTCCGTATTCGAGTGGGATTACCACATTTGATCTTGGCCTCTGCCTTCATATTCCTGAAATATCTCCTTCAATTAATTTACCTCTGTGATATACCTCAAAGATTATCGCATAGTTCTCCATCGAATTGGTGTGCAATTTCGCTTGGAAATGAAACAAGAGGTGCGAACAGGACCGTCAGCGAGGAAAAGCAACGGAAAGATATACAGAAAGCAGTGGAATTAGGGTTTTTCTTCTTGTGGGATCGACTGATACGTCGGAGAGACACAGTGCGACGAAGGAAATAGCAAGGGACTTTCCGAAGGATTACTTTTCGCGAGGGGGTGCGCACCGTGTATGCTGCGAACAAGAAGAATCAACAGTTCAGGCGATATCTCAGCGCTCTTGTCGTGTTCTTTTGAGTCTCAACAGTACCACGAATTCTAGGAACCCTAAGACAGGGAGAATCGTCTTGAAGACTCGATCGCCACCCGTGCTCTGATAAAACATAATCATTCCAATACAGTTCCAAGAGCGAAACGAGAAAAACATGAAACAATATCTTGTTCATCGGTTGGTTTAAAACTTTAACCCTTTGACGACCGTGTGGCCCGCCGGTGGGCCACACTTTCATTCGGAAGCGACTCGTTTTTCGTGGTTTATTTGGCTTTTTTCAACTTTCAGAACTACCCATGCAAATTATCGGATCCGCAATACAATATGCTCATCAAAGATAGTAAAATTGTTGGAGAGTTAACGAATATTGATGAAAAAATTTGAAAAGAAAGGAAATGACGCACACATAACGGCGGTTGTCAAAGGGTTAATAAATGAATCAAACATGCTCTCATTTGCATTTATGATCATGAACATAACCGATGGCGTGAGACGTTCCTAATGATACCGATTACTTTACTCTTCAAAGTTTAAAGGCTCCTAACAATCAATCAGTAGCTACAGTCCATGAGTTCCGCACTTCCATCTAACATTATAATGCGCTTCTCGAAAAAAAGTGTTCCTTCAATTCATGCAACTGGAACGAGCGCAGAATTCGAGCGCGATGCGTGCGTAATTCGATGGTGGTAGAAGTCGTGACCATTGCGAGTATTCGAAAACTCGTACGTACGATCTCTGAAATACTTCAGATGAGAATTTGGGAGGTCAGGACACCAGGGGCTCACCTTCTGCTCAACACCTTCTCGGCTGGACAAATGTCCACCTTCTTCTTGGTGAAATCCGTTCTCTGTGTGGTCTTTCCAGCAAACGCGTCAGTCGATGCATAATTCGTCTCTTTAGGACGCATCGACCGTTGACGAGTCGCTAAATACAGAGTGAATATTTGTCAGCGGAACGGTTCTTCTGTAAAGTTCTATCGAGATTGCAGTCCTTCCTTAAGTGCTCGACAGCTGAACACCCAAACGCAGCTCGCGACTGAATGATTCGAAAGCGGCGGAAAAAGGAATTAAGACTCCTTTGCCACTTTCAGTTCCCCACAAAGGTTGGCCTGTATACACTCTCCGCACTGCAGAGCCGATCGGCCAAAAGTTGAATTACACAGCTCTGTCTCGCTACCCGACTGCCCCCTCAACTTCTGATGAGCACACGTTCACCACAAATTTGCATAGGCACCTTCTTAAAGCAACAGTTCAGGGAGGGTCCGAAAATTTCAATGCCACTACTACTGAGGGATACACGAGCCCTAGTGAAGAACATATGCAGTGGAAATAATAAACGAACTTACCTCAGAAACTCAAAAACAGGGTGGAAAGTCCCTCAAACATGGGTGTTCTTGGGGATTTCCCCAATCCCGCCCCCTTGCCGGCCGTCATTGGACGCGTCGGCAATCGTGCTCGTTTTGGGACCACAGGGAAAATTGGTTGAAAAATGGAGCGCGTTTACAGCGGGCACGTTCAGACAACTCGTCCAACGTGCGTCTTTATCCATTGCTGAGCGGCAGAGGGAGAGTACCTGTCTAAGACCCTCCCCGACGTTTTTTTCCAGTTTTTCATACATTAATCGTCTGGTTTTCATCTACAACTTCATTATTGGTGGTTTTTTCCCGCGAAACCGTTCCTGAACTGTTGCTTTAAATTGACTGTTTTTCGAAAAACATTTTGGAACTGTATCTCACCCCTCCTTTGGAACATAACCGTCTTGGTATGTGGAATGTCCTTCGAATGGCCGTCCATGTTCGATTTCGTTACTTCTAGGCCTTACTGCAATCACCCTGAAGAGAGGTCAAACAGTGCAAGAGATTCTTTGAAGCGACATTAGAATTAGAATGGTAAAGACGATCAATCAAGCTAAAGTGAATGTTCAAAGAGAGCCGTTCTGTAAAATTGGTGGCGAAGATTTTGACAGGATTTTCCCATTCCCCATGCAAATAAACGTTGTCTCCAAGCCCTGCCCTTACTCTCCAACTAGCAGACTTGATGAACAAGAAAGTGGATCCTTCCCAATCTTTTCACAATCGTCTTTGAAACCCACTTTGTTCCCAACGTCTTCCTTGATAATTCGGGCGTGTGTAATGGTTAAGCGCATCCATAGGACATCCCCGAAGAGATTGACGAGCGAAAGGGCCGACCTGGGCGAACTGGTCGCATCGCCTGAAAACTGCAGGCATAATGAGTTTCCTCTTCTTCTAATGAAGTGGAGAACGTGAACTGGAGACATTCACTGGAGACAACCTTTTTCTGGTCGTAATCAGCCCGATTTGTGGTGATGCCAGAGAAGTCGCCACTGGGTACAGATGTAATTGCTGGGCGATAAGCGCGGCTTTTTTGGCCCTGAAGCAGTTGGATCATTCTGGAAATGTATTTCCTGAATAAATTTCATTTTCTGGTAATTGAAGATTCACTTAATCATTGTCAGAGTGTTGCCTTCACTAGTGACAGCGGAGGCTCCCTGGGGATCAAATACTTGGGATGGTAAGAAAGTCCTGAGCCGATTTTTCGAAAGCTCGAGAATTTTCGCATATTGATTGATACCTAGAATCTGCTACGTGATAGATTATCGCTGTCGATCATACTTCACGAGCGACGGCAGGGTAAGGGTATACACTGCGTTTCATAAATATAGGTCCACCCTAATTTTTTGCTATTCCAAAGTTGCTGTGCATTTTTGGAAAATGCCGCTATTACCAATAGTTTCCCCATAACGAAAAACCTTGATACTTGATTTCTGGAGAAATCTCGATTCAGAATTATTAAAATATCTTCCTTAGAACGTATTTTCACCGTTTCGCAAATATGACTACACATCACTTGTCGAGAGATTTTATTATAACAAAAAAACGTCACAAATTTTCAATAATGGGATGGTCCTCCCATTAGTCATAAGGAACACAATAATACGTTTTGGAATGCTGGTAACCAAATTAGCTATTACATTAGGATCGAAATTTGTCTGTGCGCTGATGATCGACGTTTTCAGCTCTTCGGCTGTTCCATTTTGCTTTTCTTTGCTGTGGAACTTTATAACAATTAAGGCTTTATGATTCTCTATTGGAATCTGATTCAGATAACATGGTGGCCACCAGATAACTGCCACATTTTTTCCTGCACTTTCCATCTGGCGTGGAAGGACCGGCATGGACAGCTGCGTTATCGTGCGTAAAAATCAAGGTTCGAGGGGACTGTTGTCGAAAAATGGTAAAAGTCGCTTCAAAAGAACTTCACGATACCCTATGGAATCCTTGTGAAAGGAAACAAATACGAGCTCTAGCCGCTCAGTCGTTCAAAGGTGCCTCAAACCATAAGGGATTCTCCGCCAAAATTACCTTACATCAAAACCATCTGCGATTTTCACGGAACCCTCCTGTACCCTCTTTTTCTATCAGATCCACCTAGAATAAACTTTTTCACGTCGATCTCAGATCACCTGTAGCATGAAACAAGGAGGAGAGTCCAAGATCGCGAAGGGTCTGAACAGCCACACCTTCGTTCATTAAGTTGAGCCCTTTTCCCACGGAGAAATGGAGACGTGCGATCTTGTAGCGCTCAAATAATCTTGGAACGCGCTTCATCGTCGCTCTTCATCAATCCGTTGAAGATGTTATTGCTCTGCTGGCTTACTCACCACACGGTGGTTTTGCTCACGGAAGGCCGCATTTCAGTACGGACTTTGTTCGGACTCCTTGTATAATTCGAGAGAAGACACCCAATTCCTCCTAAATTTTGAAGGAAACGCAGTCTTTATTTACCTAAGCGACTCTTCTCTCCGCACTGACCAGGATTTTGCACATAGTCGCTTATGCAGTATGAGCCGGCCGACATGGGAGGAAATTCTGCTCCTCAGCCATCCCACTTCAGTAAGTGCTCTGGCTTGAGCTTGTTACTGGGAAGAGAGGCGAGTAACACGAGGTATGGTAAACTCGATGTCGACTGAGCTCCACATATTTCCCCGCTTCCCTGATTCCCTTCACGGATCGTGAGAAATGGAAACTTTTTATGAGTGGCCCGATATTCATGAAACGGTGAAAATTCGTTCTAAAAAGTTAATTGGGTTACTTGAGGGGGGAACTTTGTCAGAAAAACACTATGAAGGTTTTCCGTGATGAGGAATCTAACGGTGATAGCAGCATTTCCAAAAAATGCACAGCAACTTTGGGGTAGCAAAAATTTAGGGTGGACCTATAATTATGACGTAATACGCCAGGTGTGTAACTAGAGTGCCGGCGCATTGTTCACTGGGCCACTGCCTTTTTTTTAAATTTTCTGACTTGTTTGGAAATTTGGTAAATCGACAGCCATCGTTTTCGGTGTGTCCGGAAAACTAAGAATGATGATTGCTTGATTTTGTAACGCGTGGATTTCGAATTGCTCTGTTCTTTTGAAGAAAATGGGCCGCGTCAATTGCTTATGCCATCCTAAATTTTCTTCGAATTTCTCATGTCTCTAACGCTATTCAGCTATGGTGTGCATGTAATACAAATGAGGAAATCCTCGACTCATGCAGTGCACATAAATGGTGGTAACCTGTTCGGAATATAATACCTTATACAGGGGGTAGTAGAATGGAAACGCTTTGTCAGAGAAAGAGCTGTGTTCTCACTTTTGCGATCGCTTCTGCTGCTTGGAGGAGTGTATACAGGCAAAACTGGGGAAACTGAAGTGCTCAAGGAGCTCCTTAAATTCACTTTTTCCCGCTTCGAATCTGTGGTCAACTTTATTTGTGGTCTTGGCTTCCGCGAAGATCGAAGCGTTCACTTGGCTTCCGCGAAGCTCAAAGCGTTCACGCTCACAAAGTCTCTGTTCAGAGAGAATATGAGTTGCACTCACAATCCGCGTAGTACCCATCGCCGAACTTTGTCGGATTCTCTCTGGAAAAATTTTCGTACCGAGCGAAAATGATGACATGGGCCAGTTGTAACTTGAACGGGACACCGAAGTGGTGGCATGGGCCATCATTGCATCGCCTTGATAAGAAAACTTCGATCGAGTTCAGTGATGGGTACCAGACGGGTAGTAGGTACGAGTGTTCTCTCTAAAAAGAGACTTTGTGAGCGTGAACGCTTCGAGCTTCGCAGGGAGCCGAGACCACAAATAAAGTTGACCACGGATTCGAAGCGGGAAAATGAGAATTTAAGAGCTCCTTGAGCACTTCAATTTCCCCAGTTTTGCCTGGATACACTCCTCGATGAGTTCTACAATAAGCAGCAGGAGCGATCGCAAGAGTGAGCACACAGCTCTTTCTCTGATAAAGCGTTTTCATGCTGCTACCGTCCAGTATAAGGGCTAATATTCCGAACTAATTAGTTATAAATGCTCCACCATTTGTGTGCATTGCATAAGTGGAGGATTTCCTCATTTGTATTACATGCACACCGTAGCTGAATAGCGTTAGAGACATGAGAAATTCTGAAGAAACTTTAGGATGGCATAAGCAATTGACGCGGCCCATTTTCTTCAAAAGAACAGAGCAATTCAAATCCACGCGTTAACCAAAATCAACACCATTCTTAGTTTTCCGACACGCCGAAAACGATGGTTGCTATGCCGATTTACGAAATTTCCAAATAAGTCAGAAAACTGAAAAAATCAGGGGGTGGCATATACAATTGACGCGCACTGTATAGCCGGGTTGCCTTCTTTAACTTTAATCATGATGTCGATTCCACAAGAGCACTTTCGAGCGATCATCTTCAATGAATGGCGTTGCGGCACAGGAGCAGTGGAAACCGTCAACATCATCAGCAGCGCATTGGAAGTTACACCACTCCCATCATTTTGAGGGAGGAGACACGGCTTCCGAAACAAGTCAAGGTTGGGAAGCCCCAAACAGTGGAAGACTCCACCGTTCTCGGCGCTGTCGAAGAGGATCCGGAGGTTAGCACCCGCAGCCTTGTGATAAGACTCGGGTGCACCCATCCCACAGTCCTCGGTCCCCTCCACGCCCTCGCCACAGGAAAGTGCCGACTCGATGGATCCCTCATGTCTTGACCGATAGCACGCGGTTCAGGCGGGTACCCATTTGTCAGTTTCTCCTTCTTTGTCCGCACCGAAAGGAGTTTTTGGAAGGCATGATTACGAGAGATGAGAGTTGGGTCCTCTACGATTCTAACAAGCACAGTGCCGTGTGGCTCCCTCGAGGAGAAGACCCGCCGACACAAGCAAAATCGGACCTTCACCCCAAAAGCTGTCTTCTTTGCTACCTCTGGGATTCGTGAGGAATGTTGTATTATGAGATGCTCCCGCAAAGACATACCGCTACCGGCAGCATTTACGCCAGTCAGCTCCAGAAACTAGCGGACGCTGTTCAAGAAAAACGACCGAGACGAACTTCTGTCCACCTACTCCACGATGACGCCAGGCCCCACATAGCTAAAGAGACCCGTGCAAATTGGAAGAGCTGATCTGGGACGCGGTTCTCCACCACGTTTCCTGACATTGCCTCTCCGATTATTCACTATTTATACTTTTAAGCATTTCCTAGCGCGAAAATCACCAACTTGAAGAAGTGGATGCAAGAGGGCGCGTCAGCATTTTTCGACTTCGTTGCTCAGTTCTGGGAGAAGGGGGTCGCTGACCTGCTCATCAGGTGGAACTCTGTAGTGAGTAGCAGTGATGATTATATTGTTTAGTAAATTCCATTGTACGCGTAATAAAAAATAAAGCACTAAAAAGTGTCAAACGGCTCAGGACTCTACTCCCTATCAATGACGATGTTAAATTCCTCTATAATCGGAGAGAGAGATGGAATGACTACGAAATTTTATATTTGCTGGATGCGTGGCGAATTCAAGGAAAGAAAAGCAAGCACTCCCACCAAATCCAATTCCACCTTTTCTGAAAGATGCGTCATGAAGGAGTCATTTGGAGCCCCTTGTCATCCACAGCCAAGATGTTGGAACTCGATTAAGTAAGGTAAAAGTGAAAGGTTTAGTGAGAATAAAAAGACACATGTTTTTGTTTCGAGGCGCAAGCCTTATGAGCCTAGGGATTGAATCCGCCACCCGGAAAACAAGCCAGGTTCTGTATTAGCTCGAGTTTTTAACATAGTGGGCTGGTTTTTTCATGAGTATCAATCGTATCAACATTTTCGTACTTGTTTGCGGTCAAAATCGGCCCTGTTAGTGGTGACATCTGTGAATTCGCCTGACTGAATGGCTGTGAAGTCTGGTCTGAAAGCCTTCTGGCGTCCTCCCTGAAATTGTAGCTAAATCAAGAATTAAGTGGCTATTATCAGAATTTTATTCAAACGCAGCTCCACTATGAGCCGTGTCCCTACTTTGAGCATAATAGATTAGCTGTAATTGTGACTGTGAGCGATGTACGGTTTGTGTGGGTGGCAAAGTTAGTTCCAG